TAATGATTTTGTCAGCCTTCATTTTTTTTTATTTCAGGCTTTATTATTCGAAAAATCGAACTTTCATAACTAGGTGACTGGAATATGATTAATCTCAGAGTTCTCTTGGTCACTTTAAATAATAAGAAAAGATCCTATACTGGTCTCTAAGTATTGTGATTATTTAACATTTGATCTTCATTTATATCAGTGTCAAAAACCTCCATACATATTGAGGGCGTAAAGGAGTTTGGTTACCGTGAAATGGCTCTAGCTACAAACAATTTTCACGAGTCCACGGTAGTTGGTCAAGGTGGTTATGGAAAGGTTTACAAAGGAATTCTAGCAGATGGCACTGCTGTTGCTATCAAACGTGCACAGGAGGGGTCACTACAGGGTGAAAAGGAGTTCCTAACTGAAATACAATTATTGTCAAGATTACACCACCGAAATCTTGTGGCTTTGATTGGATATTGTGATGAAGAAGACGAACAGGTAGTTTAAGGAATTCTTTATTTATTTATCATTTTCATAAAAAAATTGCAAAAACACCCCTGAATTTGGTCCGGTATTTTATTGAAGTTCCAATATAGTCCATGCACTTAGGTTACACTTTAGTCCTTGTTATTTAAATGTGTGACGATTTAGTTAAATGATTTTTAATGACAAACATCTTTCTTGGAATGTTCATTTTGATTCAGCTCATCAAAAGACTTCTTCATGGCATTCTCTTTTTAAACTCTTGTGGCTTACTCTATTCAATATTTATGTCGAAAGTAGAATGCATTAATCTTTGTTTTGTTCTCTTTTTCCCTCCCTTGTGGAGGTTGTTTCCTTTCACCATCAGTTTCTTTACATTATATCACTGAAAAGTTTTGTTTCTTGTAAAAAAATTTTTAAAAAAAATGCACGAATTTTAAGGTGATACATTGCATTATATTTAAATTAAAGTTTCTGTTTGTCAAATTCTGTCACAAAACTTACTTGTGTCACAGCTACTAATTTTATCAGCTCGCTGGACATTACTTTTTTGTCAATTCCTTGCACTGCCTTGAAATTTGGCCTTGAACAGATTTATTGATTTTGAATTTCCATGCAGATGTTGGTTTATGAGTTCATGTCAAATGGCACGCTGAGGGATCACCTTTCTGGTACACTTCAGCGACTTTCCTATAAATTATTTTTCGAAGATTCGGTTTCAGTTATGCAAATTGTGAGACGGTTTTTATTCGTTCCAGGGTTCTTATTCCTTCATATTTATGTCAACTGAAGAATAAAATATTTATTTGAGTTGTTGTTTTCATGTCTCTCTTTTGAGCATTGACTTGTTATGTTTCCTTGTGTTATCACAGTACGTTCTGCAAAACCTTTGAGTTTTGCCACAAGATTAAAAGCTGCCCTGGGTGCAGCTAAGGGAATTCTGTACCTTCACACGGAAGCTGATCCCCCAATATTCCACAGGGATATCAAGTCCAGCAACATATTATTAGACTCCAAATATTTGGCAAAGGTTGCTGATTTCGGACTTTCACGACTTGCACCTCTACCAGATACAGAAGGCGATGTGCCAAATCATGTATCGACGGTAGTAAAAGGGACACCGGTAAAATTCTATCTATATTTCTTAAACTTTTAGAAATTTAATGAAAGAGTTCAATTTTTGCTTACAATCTCATCGCGATTTTAGTAGATTCTAGGATGTCTACTAGGTTATAGAAGGTAGGTATCCTTTTTTATAACTTATTATTGATCTATTAGGTTTTATAAAGGAAAGATCCTTTGTAACACTAATAAACAGAGGCGTCTATGGTGGGAATCTAAAGGTTTTATAGGATTATATTTCATGGGTGTGACGAACAAGAGTAAAAGCAAAAACAAAAGAGATGAGGGGATTTCCATTTAGACGACGCCCTGTTTTCATAGACGCTACAAGTTCTACTATAATGGTAAATATGATAGCAAAAGGAAAATAGAGGAATACCCTTACTTTCATAAGCATCTCTTGCCTTTCAGAAAATGATAGAAAGGATTTCTCCTTTATTTGTTTGATGTTAGAGATAAATGGCATTCTGCATTTCTTACAACTTTCTACAACCCTAATAGTCATGGATTGCTAGATCACGCAGGGAAATAATGGCCTATAAGGAAGCTAATCTTCGAAGGAAGTACAAAAGTATTACAACAGATTGGAGCTCGGATGGAGTGTATGTGAAAGAAACTTAAGGATCACAATCAAGATTTTAAAGTGATTAGAAATTCAGAATAAATTCAAAATCCTAAAAGATTAGGGACCTAAGATAGAAATAGAAAAAAAACATGAAAATTAGGGGCATTACCAAGCATGCATGGAGTGACGTCACTAAATAGTCTAAGAAAATTAGGGGTGTTACATTTGGTATCAGAGCCAGACACCGGACGATGTGCTAGTGAGGAGGCTGAGCCTCGAAGGGGATGACACGAGGCGGTGTGCCAGCAAGGACGCTGGGCCCCAAAAGGGGTGGATTGGGGGGTCCCACATCGATTGGAGAGGGAAACAAAACATTCTTTATAAGGGTGTGGAAACCTCTCCCTAGCAGATGTATTTTAAAACCTTCAGGTAAAGCCCAAAGAGGACAATATCTGCTAGCGGTGGGCTTGGACCGTTACACCATTAGATGAGAAACTAAGACATATGCCAGTATGATCCAAATCTGGACAAACCTTGTCAAAGAGGTACTTCAGATCTGATGAGCTCTAGAGAAAGCCCGTTAAAGCGCTTGCACTCGGTGATGGGGCTGATCGCAACACTTAAGCTAGCACAAATATTTCAACATTTTCATGGTAAAATGGATTTGCATATTCAAAACCACTTTCAAAATTTTCCTATTGGGATAATTGAGATGAGATGTTGGGACACAAATGGAATGTCAAACCTTTGCTCATTATACCATGGTACATGATATAGAGAAAGTGAATCTTCTGTACTAAAAATATCTTCCTTTGTTTATTCTCTATGTTACTGTTTTTGGTTAGATAACTGGTTACACTTCCTGGATTGAGTTTAGTTAAAGGGTATTTATGTGCCTTTAAATTTGTATGCTTCCATTTTCCAGGGTTATCTTGATCCAGAGTACTTCCTGACTCGTAAATTGACAGATAAGAGTGATGTTTATAGTCTTGGTGTCGTGTTTTTGGAGATTTTAACTGGGCGGCACCCGATCTCACACGGCAAGAACATCGTCAGAGAGGTATTACATCCAAAAAGCATTTGTTATGGACTCTTTATTTTGGGATAGCACAACACCAAGTGCATGAACTGGATATCATAGTCGTATGCATAATTTGATTGCAAAGGCCTTCTCTGTATTGCACTGGTATCTCTTTTAAATATTTGTATCGTTTGTATGTCAACAGGTCGACCGTGCATATCAGTCTGGAAAAGTTTTCTCGATTGTCGATGGTCAACTCGGATCTTATCCCCTGGAATGTGTTGAAAGATTTGTGACTTTGGCTCTGAAATGTTGCCAAAATGAAACAGATGCACGCCCTTCAATGGCAGAAGTCGTTCGAACACTCGAAACTATCTGGCATATGCTGCCCGAGTCTGATACGAAAGTTGCAGAGCCTCCAATGACGAACGTCGTAAAAATGACCAGTCCTCCATCTTCATCATCCTACATGAATAACTATTACACATCAGAAGTCTCTGGCAGCGACCTTGTAAGTGGAGTAGCTCCCACCATCACACCCAGATAGAAAACATTATTATTTCCTTAATCGACACTTAATTAACAAGCTTAATCTCAGTTTGTATATAGTTTTGCAGACAAGATTGTTATTCAAATACATTAAATCATTGTATCTTCAGAGCATAGTTTTTGGTTTACTATTAGGAAATACTTTTCATGTGGTTCATGCACTTGCTAATGTAATTAGTGTGGTTAGATTTATTTATTTCTTGTTGTTATAAAGTTAATAAGATTGATTGAATGTAATTTTTGTGTTTTCTAGGGGTAATTTTATATTTTTCTAAAGTGTCCTTTTATGTATTTATTTATTTGGATGTAAGTAGCTTATAATTCACACCTTAAGCTTTGTGATCCATATTGGACGTAGAAATATTTGCTGATAATAAAATATTAAATATGATATACATTGTAAACTATAATTTAATACTAAATATATTTTAACACAAACGAAACTAAAGTTTTACTCATAAATCATTCAAAGCCCTTCTTCCTAACTTATAGAGGGTTGTTCATTGGTTGGTCGGGTTGGTTTTTGCTTGGTTTTTACTTTTAAATATTTAAAGGAGTAAATTTTTTTAAAACTTTTTTATTTTATATTAATGTTGCTTGTGGAAATTCTGGTTAAATTCCTCCTTAAAATTTACCAAGTATTTTTGAAAATTTTTAAAAAATTTTTAGGCATTAATATAAAATATTCAAAACCCAAAGTTCAATTTTTTTTTTTTTTTTTATATAAATAGAGTATTAACCGTTTTTATTTAGAACTATTTTGAACTTTTTAGGGTATTTTAAATTTTTTAATTTTATTAAAAGTTTAAAAGTATTATTAAAAACGGATATTTTTTAAAATAAAAGGCAAAGTTGAAAGATATTTGATTTAATTTAACATAATTTTATTAATGGAATATCTACCGCTTTAGGCACATAATTTAAAATTTATCCATGCATTAATTAATTTTTTAAAACTAACCTTCCATTTAAAAATTACCAATTATTTAAAGTTTTATGAACTTAATTAATATGATTATAAGTTTGTCAAACGTATAATTGATATACTTAGAAGGTTTAAATTAATAGAAAGTTTAACATTTTTATTGACATAGTTATACTTTTTTTCCAATTTTTATTTACATTTTAACTTAACATTAAAAAATTAATTTTAAAATTGATGAACTTTTATATATATATATATATATATATTCGGAAAAAACTAATTATCTCTAGAATTTTCTTACATAAGTCATTATAAATTAAAAAAAAAAAAGAAAAAAAGAAAAAAGCTAAACCCTAGGTTCTTGCCTGTTTTCTTTCTTCTCTGATTCTAACCTTCTCCCATTTCTGTTGAAGCAGCACAGCCCCACCGGCTCACCCCCTTCTTTCTTCTCCTCCTCCTATCTACCTTTCTCCTGCGACCCTACGCTGCCTCGCCAATCCACCATCTTCTGTAGCGGCCCCTCCATCTCTCAGGCACCCTTAGTTCAGGTCCGGTTGGATCATATGCTTTTTTGTTCTTTTTTTTTTCTTCTTTTCTTTCGGTTTCGTTGGTTCTTCCATCTTCAAAATAGGGTCAATCTTCGATTAGGTTAATTTTAATTTGAAGATTTTTTTTGTATCAATACAGGATTTCAAATTAGATTGTATTTCATATATATGAAATCAGATTTTTTTTTTTTTTTTTTTTTTTTGGCGAGCGGTGGGTTGAATTTTTTCGCCGATCATTTGTTCGTGACCCCAATTTTGATATTTCCACTTGTATTACTAATTGGTTGCTTGCTGGTGTTAATGCTTAACTCGGCTAAATTAAATCATTTTCTACCTTATTGCAGGAATCATGGCGGATGAAGCTCAGAATGATGTGAACGATCAGGTGGCAGATGTGAGTTTTTGTCTTTCTTATCTGTTGTCTCCATGCACATAGCTATTGTTTTTTCCTTGCCTAAATCTGTGAGTTGGAACTCGGTGGACCATGCACTTCTGTGTTTCAATACCCGGGGGGAGGGTAATTCATTTCTGGCATGTATAGCTCAGGGAGTCAATTGTACTATAACTATAATTCATTTCTATAATTACAGATAATGTTTACAAACTCTGGCCCATAGATATTATTCAAAATTAAATGTGAAAATCGTGAACCATTGAATATAGTGTGTACCAAATCCAACCAACAGAGCACCCAAAATCTAGTTAATTTAGGATGTAAAGATAGCAATATAATTAAGTAGTAAAACATCACTGGTTCAAAACTGAATGTCTAGAGCTAAAATGCATCGAATGTAACCAGAACAATTAGTATATAAAAATTAGCTTTGTTGTCTAGCCATGCCCACAACTAGCCACTAACTTTGATGTAAGGTTTAATTTAACTCACCCCTTAACTGCTAGCAAAATCAGAAGAAACATTTTCTAGGTTCGGATTAGGTTGTTGCCTCTGGGCCTATTGTTCCAGTCATCAATGATTCCTCCAGTTTACTTAAATGTTATTCTTGTGGCTGTATGGTTATGTTTTGATAAGAGTCTGATTCAGTTCTCGAGGATTTTTCTATTTGACTGTTTACTGGTGCTATGGATAAAAGCTGCATTTTTCTTTTGTGTTGTTTCCTTGGCTGTTATCTTACCACGTGTCTTTATCCAAACATTTAACAATCTAGTGCAGTTTCTGAACCATTGTTCATGTGCAAGTATTGGTGCAACACCATGATGAATGTGTATGGTTTATTCCTTGCAGATTGCACCCTTTGATCCAACTAAGAAGAAGAAGAAGAAGAAGGTTGTAATTCAGGATCCGGCTGACGAATCTGTTGACAAGTTAGCAGAGAAAACTGAAAGTTTGTCAGGTATGAAAAGTTGACATTGCATGGTTGTTTCTTGATATTTTTATATTGTTTGTATCTAAGGATTATTGGCTGATGGTTCTATTTAAATATTTTGTCCTGCAGTTTCTGATGGCTTGGAGCCAACCACATTTTCTGGACTTAAGAAGAAGAAGAAAAAACCAGTATGTCTTATTTTTTTTCTCTGTCTAAATAAAGCTCTATTTGGTGACTGATATCATTTGTTTCAATTGCAGGTAGAGGCCATCTCCTTGAACGACGACGGTCCGGATGCCACAGAGGATTTGGATGGTTAGCATTGCATATGTGAACTTTGTTATGTTTTATTATTTCTTTTTCTGTTTCATCTTATTACTTTTCTACGTCCTTTGCCTTTATGTTGTCTTCCTTTTGCCGTTTTGAATGTACAAGTTTCTGTTTCACATAATAAAAAGAAAATAGTATTATGAATCATAAGATAAGTAAAAATTTAAGGGATTAGAGCTTTTACAAGAGATTGTGGAGAAAAATGAACATTTTTAGAATGTCTGAATTTCTTTCTGAAAGATTAAAAAAATGAAAAAAGGGTTTGAGATGGCTCTACATGCGCCTCAATCCCGCTTCATTAAGGAACCTTGCTTCAGAAGCAAGGCACCTAGGTGAGGCACACTTTTTAAATCACTGTGCGTAAGTGGGCATGTATTTGTACAAAGTTTCTAATTAAAAAAGGTTGTATATATAATCTGAAGCTAGTATAGGACCTACTTTTCTGTTCAGCATCCCTTCTCTCACCAATATTTTTCAGTTTCTTTGTTATTGACTTTTTTCTTCAATTGAAAAGTGACTATCATGGCCTTCCAGATCAATCAGGGGAGAATGAGGATCGAGAGGGAATTGTTCTACAGTATCGTTTTCCTTGGGAGGGAAGTGATCGCGATTATGAGTATGAGGAGGTATTGCTATGCTTTACAATTATCAGATTTTTCCATTATTTTATGCTCTCAATTAGTATATCATTTTGTTTTGTAGGAAATTGATTTTTTGTTTGATTTCTTATTTAGTCATTCTTACAGTTGGTGTATGGCTATCTTTTTTCTGTTATTATGTAGTTTGTTCTCTGTGGCCTCATACATTGATTTTTATAAGAAACTAGGCTATGTCAATGATATCAAAAGGTGGGTTTGTTCTTAGGTTATGCCTTGGGGTGACTCCGTCCATTTGGATTTAATGTAAAGTTGTGCATATGCCATTAACAAGAATCCAAATTCTAATGTTAATTATTAGTCTAGCGTGTGTGTCTGTGTGAGTCATGAAGATGTTAATAGTTGGCTATGTGAAATGTTCCCCATGATGCATGTTATGATATTTAAAGTATGAATAATTTGACGTGGTTATGCTTTTTTCCTTCAAGTGGAGTTGCCTTTTTTAAGAAATAATTTCGTTTATATATGAAATTTACAAAAGGGATGTTTGATTCATGGTGATTACAAAAGACTATCCCAATTAATTAAGAGGGAGACATAGCTATGGGAAGTAATAACATTAGACAAAATACATGCGGAAATTGCACAGTAAATAGCAAGATCAAAGAGCCTATCATGGGATTGTTCCTTATCTAGGTAGACCCTTCAATTGTGTTCTTGCCTAAGAATCCAAATAAAAGGCCTTCTTCCATAGCAAAGCTTTAGCATCCTTTAAAGGGTCGTGATACAGAGATATGCAGAGGAATTCTCTGACCTTCCAACGAAAGTTAAATACAACCAAAGGCTTTGAGAGTCCTGTTCCAGAAATGAACAAATGGTTATTGGATTCATCATTAGTTTTGCCCACAAGGCACCAACTTGGGGACAAAGCCAATAAGGTTTTCTTAGGTTTTCTTTCGTATTTATGGATTTGTGTGGAATTTCCAAGCAGAAAAATTATATATTTTTCGGTTATCTTCCTTTTTCAGATTTCACAGGACAATAAGGATCCAAAATCGTATTTTTTTCTCCCATATTGGACCTTAAGTCTTTTATGGAGAAGGATCCATCCGCATTAGGAAGCCATTTCAAAGAATCGTCTCTTGCTGGGAAGACTATTGGAGCGAGGTCTTGGCTCAATTCAGCCCATTCAATAACTTCCTCATCCTTTAAATTTTTCTAAGATGTGAATCCCAGAAACTGTTTTCCTCATTCCATATTTCATTGACCAAAGCCAACTTGCAATGCTCATGCGATTAACCTTGGTGTTGGCTTTCATAAGATCAACTTGAGAAGATGTATTCTTTGCAACCTTGACAAAGCCTCCACAAGCTTCTTAGATTTTCTTCAGTGTTTCATTATTCCATTGGTTTAAGGGGAGATTATTTTATTTTAATCCAGCTACCATAAGATGGAATCACTGAGTTTCTCGAATGTGTTTCCTCTTTCCAATCTTCAAGTTTGATCTGTCAATCCCCTAAGTCTTGCCAATCTGAGGTGTGGAGTTGCTTTTGGTTTCTTTATTATTGATTACTTTGGTTTCTTTATTATTGATTACTTTGGTTTGTGAGCTGTGTTGTTATCTTGGGTCCTCCTCCTTAAGATAAAAAAACTGTTTATTGTGGAAAATTGTTTTTGTTGTTGACGTTCTTGTGTGGAATTATGTTTAGAAGATATAAGAGAACTGTTTCTCAATCCCCCTATACTGGCAAATTCTTTTTGTGTGTGTATGTGGTTTACTTTCTCCTTTAGAAACGTTGCTTCCTTTAGAAACAAATCATCTTGCAAAATGTAAAATGCTGTAAGAACAATCTGAATACTGTTTTTGGTTTTGAAACAAATGGAGGCCTTTAAAGTTTCAAGACCCTCGAACAAAACTCTCGTGTTTTGGAATTTATTTGGTTTGTTGTTTCATCTCAAATGAGTTAAAATGTCAGATTTATATTGTTGTTTTATTAATATTCTCGTATGCATGTATTCAATAAATGTTGTATTGCTATGATTTCACTTTCTTCTTTGCTTAGTACTAATATAATTGTAAAGATTGCTGGAGATTTGTTTGGTTTTATATTTTTTTTGGAAATTTTATTTGCTTCAGATATGTCGTAGATCTTGGCTAACATTAGTTAACTGATGCCTTTTTGTTGTCTTGCTGTGCAGCTTCTTGGACGGGTATTTAACATTCTTAGAGAGAATAATCCAGAGCTTGCAGGTGATAGGCGTAGAACAGTTATGAGGCCTCCTCAAGTTCTTCGTGAAGGCACAAAGAAAACTGTTTTCGTCAATTTCATGGATCTATGTAAAACGTATGTATTCATTAGCCATATAACCATGCATTATTCTTACCAGATTTTTATCATATACAACTATAGCCTTTTTGCACTTCAGATTTTTTTTATTCATTGTTTTGTGTTATTCAATTCAACAAGTAAGTTTATATGATTATTTTATCATATGCGTTATGTTAATTGAACTCTTGTTTGCTGCATGCTTGCAATCTATAGTTTGATGTGATCTTTAGTACTCTTCTGTCTGTATATTCATCCAAAAAAAAGCTATCTTTCTGTCTATGGTGGTTTTATTTATTTTCTTGATTTTTTGAATGCTCCATGACATAAAAGTACTGGCATGTTAGGTTCATATGTTGATTTTGTCCCCAGAATCTGCCTTGTGATCTATATATTTCTGTAAGAGAGAGTTTGGGTTGTTATTGTATTAACCACATTCTCTGCTAGTACAAATTGGAAAACACATTTCAAGTGCTTTTTTTTTTCAAAGAAATTTTTTATATTCAATCAAAAGATATGAAAATTTTGAAGTATTTCTATTATTTATTTTCTTAAAAGAAACTAGACAAGTTGAAGTATTTTTAGCTAGTTACATGCTTTTAAGATGCTATGAACAAATGGCATGCTGATTGCTATTTGGAGAGGAAAGTTGCTTGTTTATCATTATGACAAATGAATTTATAAGTTATCACTGTGATCATCATATCTGTGTACAGCGCTGAGTTTAGCTCTTTTAACAATGGTTTTGTTCACAATTTCTATCCATCAGTAGATCTACAATTTTTTAAATTTTAAGTCCATCTAAGATCATCTATTGCAAAAATAGTCTAGAGCATTTATGTTTTCCTATAAAGGTGCAGCAATATGTATTCCTTCTATCTTCCCGGCCCCTTGCTCTTTCTATTTCTGTGGTGGATTCTTGATGGTTTAAATTGAACTATTTGCTTATCTTTTGAACTTGACTCTCTCTACGAATGAAAATCAAATAGGATGCATCGTCAGCCAGACCATGTTATGGCTTTCTTATTGGCCGAACTGGGAACCAGTGGATCTCTTGATGGACAGCAGAGATTGGTTGTTAAAGGAAGGTTTGCACCAAAGAACTTTGAAGGAATTCTGCGAAGATATGTCAGTAAGTGGCCTCATTGACTTGCTTCATTGTCTTCTGCTGCTAAATGAGACCTAAATTCAGACTTGATGTTTTCCCTTTATCCAATTTATTTTACTGAGAAGTTAAGAAGATTTTTAGAAGGGAAACGAAATTGAAATAGAATGACCTCCAACCCTTAAAGGTCTATAACGAAAGAGATATCTAATTGGAAATCAAAGAAGATAATCTATCATAGTGGGAGCATGAAGTCATAAATGTCATTAGGCAAGGTCAAAGGTATCCCGATTCAGGGAGACAAGTTAAGAAGATTGGAATTTATGGGTTATGAACATCCATTAGTTTTGCCTTTTCCCTCCATTTTATCGTTATCATCTTTTACATATGTAGCTTGATCTGTTTAACCCTTTACAATACATCTTGGGCAATTCAAGGACTTATTTCTAGATGAGATAGGAAAAAAAATGTGAATGATTGTATAGCATTGAGAAAGTCAATGGCAACTATGCAAGTTCTTTATATACTGGGGGAAGGGGTTGGGAATCAACTTATAAAAGATGGACTTATTTCAATTTCAACTGATGAATATGCTGACGTTTGTTGCGTAATTATTGTTGGCAAACCTTCTGCTAATTACTGTCTTCACTAACTATGAGTAATTTTGTTCATATTTTCCTTCCCATCCTCCCCTTTATATATATTTTTTTTTCATTCAGATGAGTATGTTATTTGCATTGGGTGCAAGAGTCCAGACACTATCCTTTCAAAGGAGAATCGACTGTTCTTTCTCAGATGCGAGAAGGTAAGTTTTATATATATATTTGCGTGTTTTAATTTTTATTTATCTAAGCTGTTTTCTTTCATTCATTCATATAACTATCTGATTTAGTTCATTAATCCGAATAATAAATATAAAAATGAAGATATCTATTCATCACCCTTTTTGAAAAAGGGTGAAGTTTATATCTCAACAAATCACAGAGATATTGATAATACACTGAGTTAATGGTATTTTCTAATCCTGGATACTGTAATCTGGAGAAACTGATGCATGTTTATTGAAAAGTTGTGATTTATTGCCAAGTTAGTTTGGCACTTGCGAATGGGTGGAATGGGGACACTCCCAGCATTAAGAAAGCTGGGGCATAATGGACTACCTTACCTCTATAAATTTTCGACAGTTCTTTTTATTGCAATCAGTGTGATTTTCCATTGGTGGGGACATGATAATGGATCGGATATTTTCCTTCATTGTTAAATGATATTTGGATAGATTATTTTTTTGTTGACCATGCGCTTCTTCCTGAAAGACAGCAGAGGATTTGACTTTTGCATGTGTTCGAAAAACAATTAATTAATTATTTAGTTCGTTTTCACATTCAGGAATATGAGAAGACTTTCTGTATTCTATCCCATTTTTCAAGCTTTTCTCGTTCTTTCTTGTGTTCATGGTTTAAGGCAATTAGTCAGTTATTTATTTCATTTTCACATTAAGGAATATGAGAAGGCTTCCAGTATTCTATTCCATTTTACAACCTTTCTCAATCTTCTTTGTGTTCATGGTTTAAGGCTTATGGCATTTCATCTGATTTACAGTGTGGTTCTGGACGATCAGTTGCTCCAATCAAAGCCGGTTTTGTTGCTCGTGTTGGCCGTAGGAACGCTGGGACATGATTTTTACTTGTTATATTGAAGCCTGATGTTTTTTCGAGTTACCTCTTTTTGAAAACGTAGTTGACTATCGAAGGATCGTTGGTGAATTTTGAAGTGAATGTGGTGTTGTAATTCGGGTTCTTCTAGTAGCATTTGAAGTTTGTTATTGTACTCGCTTTTCAAGTGGCATGCTTATATATATTGAGCCTTCCAACTATTCCACTGGATTGAATTGATCTGAACTAAATAATGATCGTACGTAATATGTTTTGTTAGGTTATTTTATCTTACAATTTGGTAACTCATGAAACGTGGAAGCCGTTAATGCTGTTGGCTCTATTTTTAGGATTTTTTCTATTTATTTTTCTGGCATTAAATTTCTTGTAAAAGAAAATCTATTTTTTTTTAAATCTTTTAGAAGATCATTGTTTTATATTCTTTATAGGGATGATTTTCAATTTTCAAAACAATTTTTATTTAAAAAGGCAAAATATTTTAATAAATCTAATAACACTTAACAATTAAAAGTTGTAACATAATTTTTTTTAAATTCAAATTTTAGTGTATATATATATATATATATATACATGTACTTTATAATTTTATATATAAAAAGGGGATGAGGATGTGGATGAGAAATTTAATTTGTCATCGGAGTTAAGGAGGAAATTATAACAGTTTTGTCTGTTATTAATTTAATTTCTTATTTTTATTTAAAATAATATGTTTTTATGTCGAGCTAAAATATTATTTAATAGTTATTTTATTTCGTTAAGATAAGAAATTGACTCAAACCCATGCACATAAACTATTGCAACTCATATCCAACGTTCCCCTACATATCATTGAAATATACTTTGCGAGGAAAACCACATTTTTCGTAACGTTGGACGAAAAGATTTAAAAATAAAATAAAACATAATTGTGTTCCCCTCCCTATTATTGAAATATACTTCGTCAGGAAAACCACATTTTTCGTAACGTTGGACGAAAAGATTTAAAAATTAAAAAAAAATATAATTGTGTGATCTGCATGTTCCATTTATAAAGTACTCACAATCCTAGTTTCGTGGAATGACAGCATGTGAAGTCAACAAGTGAAGGGTATTATGGTCATTTAACCTTCTTCTCCCCCCTCCTTGTCTCATAGTTTTCTAGTTTAAATTAAATAAAAATACCCTCCTTCTAACTAATATTACTCCAACTTTCTAAAATTTCAATAATACCTTTCAATTTTAAATCGTTTTTTTAGTTTAAATTAAATAGAAATACCTTCGATTTTTTGAAAATTCCAATAATACCCTTCAACTTTAAAAAATATTTAATTATATTGTTTAAAAAATATCTATAAACTTTTAAAAATCATATTTATTAAAAAAAATTAAAAAGTAATTATCGTAAAAATATAGATAAAAACCATTTATCTACCGCTTAATATTAATTTTGAAAATATTCATGTGTATGAGCGTTTCCTTGTGTATACTAAAATATATCTAATTTTGAAGGCATTAATGAAATTAACCATTTTTTTTTTTTTTTTGAAGCAAAAACTATTTTTTAAAAAATTTAAGGATAGTATTTGAAAGTTGATAAAATTATTTATTTTTATTAATTTAGCTTAGTTTGTGATTATTGTTTGTATTTCATTTCCTATTATACCCTTCTGGCTTCAAATCCATCATCACATTAGGAAATGATAATTAATTAATTAATTAATACCGTTATTATTAAAGGAGAAGACGAGGGAAGGTTGCAATGTGGACCAGAGATGTACCAGTCGAATCCTCGCCCCGCCCCACCGTTTGCACCAACACCCTGCACTGCCGCTGCCGCCTCGATTTCTGATCGCATTTTTCCAGTTTCAGTTTCAGATAGCAGCGATCCTCTCTCCGAGTGAAGGAACGCCCAACTCCACGCTTTCTACGGCTCCATGGCTTACCCTACGGTACGCTTTCCTTTCGCCATTTCTCTTCTCCGACTGTAATTCTCAATTACACGACCTAATTTTAGATTCTATTGGATGGCCTGCGATTGCCTCATTCGAGCGCTTCTCTCTCATTGTGCTGCGTGTGTGCGCGTTTTTGTTATTTTCAGCCTCCGAGCAATGGTGAGTTGACGAAGGCGGAGTCGAGGAAGTCCCATTCATGGTGGTGGGAAGGTCACATCAGCCCCAAAAATTCTAGATGGCTCCGGGAGAATCTCGCGGGTTAGTTACTAATTTTCTCCTCTCTTTACTCAATTTTGTTTTAGGTCATTCGATCAATGCGTCTCATAACTTTACGACATTTCAATTTGTTTTTAAACGTTATATTATGTTTACGATGTTAGATGAATACGATTCATCACAAATGACTCTCTTCACACTGCAATTATTATATTATCCACCCTGAACATAAGCTCCCATGGTTTTGTTTTAAACTTCTCCAAAGACCTCGTACCAATGGAGAGTATATTATTTTATTATAAACTCATGATCATTAGTATGATATTGTTCACTTTGAATATAAGCTCTCATGGTTTTGTTTTGGATTTCTCCAAAGGTCTCATATCAATGGAGGGTGTATTCTTTGATGATAAACCCATAATCATTTCTTAAATTAATCGATAGGCTATTGGGATAGTTCAAAGCAAAGTCACAAGAGTTTATGCTCAAAGTGAACAATATCATACTATTTTAGAGAGTCGTATTCATCTAACATATAATATTGTTTATTTAAGGTTAGAAAATAAGAACTAAATTAATAAAAAAAATACCTTTAAATTTTATTTAAATTTTTTAAAATTTCAATAATATCTCCCAACTAAAAAAAAAATATTCTTAAAATTTAAAAAATTAAAAAATACTTTTATATTAATTTTGTAAAACCTTCAAAACTTAAAATACATATATATATATATATATATATATATATATATATCTCGTAAAGTATTAAAAGTAACACTGATATTCTTTAAATTTTTCAAATTTTTTTTTATTGTTTATATGACGAATAAATCATCTCCCTTTGAAATAATTCAATAATTCTTCATTTCAATTTTTTTTTCTTACTCTTGAATACCCTTTAATTCCATTTAAAGGTATTTTTAATAATTTAACCATATCTTTAATATCTTTTATTTTTTAGGTTAGAAAAGTTGCCACATATTTTGTTATCTTTAACTATTTTATTAGTAAACAATCGAATAATAATTATTAGAAAAGAGAGGCATTTAAATTCAAATAAAGTTTTAAATTGTTAGTTGAACAAATGCAAAATGTATAGAAATAAGGACTTGTCAACTACCGATATGAATAGAGCTTCTAACCCTCTTTTGTGTTTGTTTTCTTTGAGAATGCTGAAAATGATGAAGGTATTATTAGGTGTTTTCTTTACGCTAAATTAATTAAAATACCTCTAAACTTAAAAAAAAAAAAAAAAAAAAAAAATACCATTGTCATTAATTTTGAATAGAAACGGTTAAGAACTCTTAAAAGTTTCATTAATATTCTTGAACTTTTTAAAAATGTTCAAAAATACTCTTTGGGATAGTACCATGTTTAAAAAAATATCCCTTAAATTTTAAAAGTACACCTTTACTCTTTATGAAAAAAAAAGTTCAAAAGAAACCCTTTATGCATACTTCCAAACTTTTTGTATTTTTTAATAATATGGATATTTTTTTTAACTATTTAAAGTGTTTTTGAAGCTTTAAAAAAAAGTTTAAAGGTATTAATAAAACTTTTGAAAGCTCCAAAGGTAATTTTTAAACTTTTTCAGAGTTAAAAAGGTAGTTTTGAAATAAATAAATTTAGTCAGATGCATTTTTTTAAGTTTAAGGATATTGATTTTTTTTTTTTTTTTTTTTAAATTAAGGATATTATTGAAGCTTATTAATTAATTTACCACTTTTATGTGATTCAACCGTTCTCTCCATTTTCAATTCATATTTTAAAGGGGTGGGGTTAAATCTGGGAAGATGGGCAGCAGTTGCAAAAATTTAGCTTCTTCCTTCTATCTACACGAATTTTATTTCGTTAGTTTTACAATCTCCATTTTTTATTATAGCAACTCAACGATTGGCGAAAGCCCATGTAAATTTTTCATCAAAATGCTATGCAAAAAATTGACCAAACGATCATTGATGTTAGACATGGACCGCAGCATCAAACATATGTTGAGGCTAATAGAAGAGGATGCAGATTCATTTGCCAAGAAGGCTGAGATGTATTATCAGAAGAGGCCAATGATGATCTCTTACATTTGGGAGTTCTACAGCACGTATCGTTCCCTTGTTGAGCGTTATGATCATGTAACAGGAGAGCTCCGAAGAAATATCCCTTCAGATCTACAATCCCACGGCTCTGATATCTGTGATCTTATCTCTGAGCCACGAGCTGCTGGCTTCGATGTCTTCCTTGGATCTGGTGGCAGCAACTCTGATACTTGCCAAAAGGAAGGATATGATTCATCTTTTTTCACAGATTCTGAACCTGGATCTGATGATTCCTCGGTGTACAATTATTCAGATGGTGATCAAGGACTGAACAGGAAGATGATGGAATTGGAGAATGAGCTCAGAGAGGCTAAAGAACAGCTCCACATGAAGGAGGATAATGCAGAAGAATGTTCATTTCCATTCAAAGCGGCAACAGATGAAAATTCAGACATTCAAATTATGAGGTTGAAAAGTGAGCACCAGAAGAATATTTTATCAGAATTGACCAAGGATTTGCAGGCTGAGTCAGTGTCCGCTACAATGGCAGATACTCAAAAGCATGAGGATGGGATTCTAGTGGAAGAGCTAAGAATTACAAAGGAAAAACTTGAGAACTCGCAGAAAGAACATTCTAAATTAAAATTTGAACTTGAGAACAATAAAGCACCAGAGAAAATCTGCCATTTGCCGGATGAGCTTGAAGCTGTTCGTAAAGATACTGACACATGGAAGGACAAGGTGAGTGCAGATAGAAGAGCGGTCGCCGAGCTCCAAGAAAGAATTTCAAGGTTGAAAGCTAGAGATCTTAAACTAGCAGTATCTAATGCTGGGCATAAATTTTTTCCTGAGAATGTACCGATTAAGGCTGAAATATCTCAGCCACTTAAGGAACAAGCTCTGTTGGAGGATGAGATCAGAAAAATCAAGACAGAAAAGGTGGATTTGGAGGAGAGACTTAACCGTGAGATTGAAACTCTTCAAAGTGGCCTAAACGGCTTCCAATCTGAAAGAGATCAGCTCCACGCAGAAGTTACTACTTTAAAAGAGAATTTGAGCTCTAAAGGTAAGCTTGTGCAAAAATTGGAAAAGGAACGTGTGGAACTAGAAGGGAAGGTGGAGAGGCAAAGAGTAGTGATAATGGAAGGAGCAGAGGAAAAAAGAGAGGCTATAAGGCAGCTATGTTTTTCAATTGAGCATTACAGGAGTGGATATCATATGCTTAGAGAAGTTTTTATCAGTCGAAAGTGGGATCTCGTGTTCGCACCTCAAGGCAAGTCATGACTCTAGTATTTGATTTTGAAATTGTTAAATTCCAATCTTGAAAAGTCTGTTAATAGAGAGTCTGCAACAGTTAACTGTATATTGGATCATGATAGGTTATCTGTTTGTTAAAAAATGATGTGTATGTAGTTTTTTAGAGTAACAATAAATGGGTGCTTGTCCAATGGCTAGCTGTAGATGGTCACCCTTGAAGAGAGTGCATAATAGCTTGCTGATCGAGCGCTCTTGCGCTGAATGTCCTATGTTTTGTTTTCACATGGTCCCGTGTCAAGAGTCGAACTCCTTACTTTAGAGCTCTTCAAGCTGAATTACAGATTGAAGCATTTTAACATCATCGTTGGTTATTAAGCTTTGTCCAACGCCTACCTGTTGCTCTTTTATCTTTATTTAAAGCAGAATTATGAATATGGTATTCCATGCTTTGAAAACCAACGTTGTCCTGTTCAAGTATTGACTTACAATGTTTAATGATCAGTTATGATGGGAGACCATACAAATTTAGATTGCTCAACCGTTCATTTGTCTCTTATTTGGATCTGAAGATCCTTTTTGTTTCTTCATACCCTTTATATTTGAAGTTATTTCATTGAAGGGTGTTGGTGAAGAAAAAATGAGGACTCTCACTCTCTCTTTCTATGACCGATTCATTATATCATCTTGTCTCCTCTATGCTTCTTATCTACCGTATGCTTAATCAATCCAAATTTATAATAGTCCATGTTCCAGAAGTCATGGCTTCCTTTACCCTCACACATCATTGTTGAGGATTGTTGGGAGTCCCATATTGGCTAATTAAGGAGTTGTTCATGGGTTTATAAGTAAGGAATACATCTCCATTGATATGAGACCTTTTGGGGAAGCTCAAAGCAAAGCCATGATAGCTTATGCTCAAAGTGGATAATATCATACCATTGTAGAGAGTCGTGGTTCCTAACATGGTATCAGAGTCATGCCCTTAACTTAGCCATGTCAATAGAATCCTCAAGTTTCGAACAAAGAAATTGCTAGCCTCGAAAGTGTAGTCAAAAGTGACTCAAGTGTCGAATAAATGGTGTACTTTGTTTGAGGGCTCCAGAGAAAGGAGTCGAGCCTCGATTAAGAGGAGGAATACATCTCCATTAGTATGAGACCTTTTAGGAAATCCCAAAGCAAAGCCACGAGAGCTTATGCTCAAAGTGGACAATATCATACCATTGTATAGAATCGTAGTTCCTAACAATCATATCATTAACTCTGATGAATTAAACATAGTCGACTTTTTTAAATTTTAGGTCCATCAATGATGATCTATTGCACAAATAGAGTGTTTATGTTTTCCTATCAAAGTGCAGCAGTATGTGTTTCTTCTAGCTTCCCCCGCCCCTTACTCTTTCTATTTCTATGGCAGATCCTTGATGGTTTAAATCGAACTATTTGCTTATCTTTGGAACTGGACTCTCTACAAATGAAAATCAAATAGGATGCATCGGCAGCCAGATCATGTTGTGGCTTTCTTATTGGCCGAACTAGAAACCAGTGGATCTCTTGATGGACAGCAGAGATTAGTTGTTAAAGGAAGGGTTGCACCAAAGAACTCTGAATGAATTCTGCGTTGATATGTCAGTAAGTGGCCTCATTGCTTTATTTCATTGTCTTTAGCTGCCAAATGTGATCTAAATTCAGACTGGTTGTTTTCTCTTTATGGAGTCCATTTTTCGAGTTGTTTTTACCCATTTTATTCTTCTGACTTATTTTAGGACATATTGGAGGAACTTTAGGAAATTTTGAATTTTCTGAAGACCGTGAGCTTGGGAAGTCAGACATTCAAGTAAGTTGCCACATGAATTATTTTTATAGCAATACTTTTAGGGGTCGTTGCCACATGAATTATTTTTATAGCAATACTTTTAGGGGTCGATTAAGATATTAGGCTACTAATTAGAATGCATGGTTTTAGGCCTAATTAACCAAGAAATATGTTAGCGAAGCCTAAGAACTTGGTAATTTTCCAGTTTAGCATGCTATTGTGTTTTACCGCAGCAGTTGTATGATTGTTGATCGTTTGATTGAGCATGTTGGACATCTATATATCTATGATATACCCATAGAAGCATGTTATAGGGGTTAGACACCCATGTATGCAAAGTTAATGCTGTGAATATTCGCTTATGTGCCCTAGGGAGTATGGAATGATATATGGATGAACATGAGCAGCTGTTTTACGTTTCCTTAGTCATAGAACTTACATTTAGGCCTCACAAGTATTTCAGGTTGACTAAGTATCAAGTAGGGACAATTGGAAAGTAACCCCGCTTTCCTAGGGGTCTACGTGGTACAAAGAGTTTAGTGGTCACCGATAAAAGGTCTCAGAAGTTGTATTTGGTATACTATTGGGGAGCACCCAATAGACAGATACCCATACATACGAGAGACTTACCCCAAAGCCTGTTACAAGGACAATTTGACTCACGCACAAAGGAGGAGGTTGATGATAAACTTTGGAAAACGAAAAACATGGAGCTAAACATATCTGAAAACCTACATTATTATGGCCTTGAGGGGATTAAGTATACACCCTAGAGTGGAGTGTATGGGGTTAGGATATGCATGAGGCTTATAGGGCTAGCAAGCATAGACTACATCTCATGATATTGCCTAACATTAAGGTTAGTATATGAGCATATAGCATAAGAAACCGTCGTAAAGATTAAGTCCGATAAAAACCTACAAATATCCTTCAATTATTTTATATTTTTATTGACCCTGCCTTCCTGAAAGACAGCAGAGGAACAGCAGAGGATTTGACTTTTGCATGTTCTCGAAAGGCAATTAGTTAATTATTTAGTTCCTTTTCACATTCAGGAATATGAGAAGACTTTTGGTGTTGTATTCCATTTTACAAGCTTTCTCGTTCTTTCTTGTGTTCATGGTTTAAGGCTTATGGTGCTTTGTGTGATTTACAGTGTGGTTCTGGACGATCAGTTGCTCCAATTAAAGCTGGTTTTGTTGCGGCAGGAGGAACGCTGGGACATGATTTCTTACTTGTTATATGGAGCCTGATGTTTTTTAGTACTACCTGGAACAATTAAATCCACCGCTAGCCGATATTATCCACTTTAACCTGTTACGTATTGCCATCGGCCTTACCGTTTTAAAACGCCTATATTAGAGAGAGGTTTCCACTCCTTAATTAGGAATGTTTTGTTCTTCCCTCCAACTAACGTGGAATCTCACAATTTACTTTCTTGAGGTCCTAGCATCCTTGCTGGCAAACCGCCCGATGTCTCGCTTTGATGCCATCTGTAACAGCCCAAGTTCACTGCTAGCAGATATTGTCCGTTTTTGCCTGTTACGTATCGTCATCAGCCTCATAGTTTTAAAACGCAGTTACTGAGGAGAGGTTTCGATACATTCATAAAAAAATATTTCATTATCCTCTCCAACTAATGTGGTATCTCACAATTCACTCACTCGAGGGCCCATCGTCCTCATTGATACACCGCCTGGTGTCTGGCTCTAATACCATTTGTAATAACTCTAAGTCTACCGCTAACAAATATTGTCTGATTTAGTCTATTACGTATTACCATCAACTTCACAGTTTTTAAATACGTTTATTAGGAAGAGGTTTTTACACTCTTATAACGATATAACGAATGTGAGATCTCACATTACCTCTTGTTAGAAACTTAGTCGACGTGAATGGGATACCATAATTGGAGTTCTAGAATTGAAGTTTATGATGGGTTATGAAGTGTTATTTTACTCTCTCTATCAGTGTGGCACACTTGAATTTGAAGGGATACAGTGAGGAACCATTCGTTTACTTCACCATTTACATCCATTAATAATAAGTTTAGTTGACCATATGGTAATTGTTGCTGACACATGGTGCCAAGCATTGAATATGACAGCTGATTAGATTTTTATTTGATTCCATTCAAAAGCACCAGCCTTTTCCTGTTTTGTAGCAATTATTTGTTTTGTTTTCTATTTCAATTCAAGGTATTCTTGTTTATGTCCGAGACAAAAATTACGAGCGTATGAATTCGTAGAGTTGGGTTGTAACCCTTTTTCAGGTTCGTCGAGTTGATTTGACAAAGAAAAACCTATCAATCGAACTAAATTTTTGGTTTTCAAAAAATTAAAATCAACTAAAAAAAACAGATCTAACCCGTTCAAATTGGTCGAGTTACCAAGTCATATAAACACTCTTACTACGAATACCGTTTAATATCTACTTTGTAATGTTAATGATATATATGATCTAACGACCTATCACATGGAGAAGTTTATGTAAATAAATTATTGCAATTCCTATTTAATTTGATGATACGTAAAATTGACTCAAATTTATGGATATATAAATAACAATGATCCGACATTATTCCATTTATGAGTTATTTTGTTTTACTAAGATGATAATAAAAACTTATGTAACCAAAATGAAATTATTGCATAAACTATTACGAACTCGTATTTAATTCAACAATACGTAAAATTAACTCAAGCTCATAAATACATAAATAACTATCACCAAATGTTCGGTTAAGATTGTTCAACAACGTATAACTTTAGATGAACACAAAGAACAGGAGACCGATAATTCAAAAGGAATATTGGCTATATATATATATATATAACAACCGTGAATACAGAGAATAAGAAAAGGGCATTTAGCACGACTAATCCGATTTCAATTTAAATTTACTAAATATAGCTTTCAAAGATTTAAACGACACAGACACATATATCAGATTTTACTAATATCTTTCAAATATATCTCACATTATTTGATTCAGAGTTAAAGGCTGGTTGCGTGGAATCCAGGTTTCGTGGAAGGAAAGCATGTGAAGTAAAGCAGGGAAGGGCAATATGGTCATTTAACCTTGTTTGAAGCCGCGGCCAGCCCCACCGACTATACCAACACCACTGCAAACTGCTGAAACTGATCATATTTATTGCTTTCAAACCTCCATTTCCGCGCCTCGATTTTGAATCCCCGTCGCTAACAAACAAACCAAATTACTGTTTAATGCGCCTAAAATCCCTTTTCTTTCTACCTGCATTCCTCCATCGATGGCCGATTTCGTTTCGTTTTTGTTCAGGATGTAAATTGGCTGTATTCTGATCTTAGTTTTTAAAGCTTGAGTTTCGATTTCAGTATCAGATTGCAGGGATCTTCTCTCTGGTGAACGTACTCCGAACTCCACGATTTCTTCGGCTCAATGGCTAACTCAGTGGTATGTGTTGCTTTTGCCACTCCTCTTCTTCTTCTTCTTTGCCTACTTCATCATTATGATCCCATTTTACAGTCTATTCGATTGTTTTTTTTTTTTTTTTGTTTTTGGTTTATTAACATCTCGATGAACTGCGACTGCTTTTCTCGTGCTTCTCTCTCACTGTGCTGTGTATGTGTTTTTCTTGTTCCCAGTCTCCGAGTGACAGGCAATTGAAGAGGTTGGAGTCTGGGAAGTCTCATTCTTGGTGGTGGGATAGTCACCTCAGCCCCAGAAACTCTAGATGGCTCACGGAGAATCTCGAGGGTTTGTTACTAATTTTCTCCTCTCTGCTTAATTCTGTTGTAGGCATCGAGTGATTGCTAATTCATAGTATCAATGCCGGCTTAAGCAATCGTCTGATAATTATACAACACTTCAATTTGTTTTTCCATGTATTATGCTAATAGTATTGTTCATGTAATTTTAAATTATAATTATAAATGTCACTTTCAGAGTATAAAACATTGGTGAACTACATATTTAACATGCCCTGACAGTGGCTTCCAATCCCCAAATTGCTTTATGCTGCCTTGCACAGATAGGGAACGTTTGTTTTAGGATAGTACTTTCCTCTTTTGTGTTCCTTTTCTCTGGGAGTGCTAGAAAAGATGAAGGTATTATTAGGTGCATTGGCAATGCTCCAATATTTAGAGGATCTTTTTATGGCATACCTTTCTTTTACTATAATTGGCTTTATGCGGTTTCTTGTAATCTTAACCCACTCAAATATCCCCTCCTCGTCTTGCCAAATAACGACTAAGGAAATTGTTCTCCAATTCTCTAGTGACATGACATCTGTTTCCTTTATGCTAGAATCTTTTCCTTTTATTCAACAGGTCTCTAAGTTCATATTCTAAAAGGGGTGGGGTTAAATTTGGGAATATAGGCAGCAGTTGCAAAATTTTAGCTTCTTCCTTCTTTCTGCATGAATCTTATGGTACCTGGGTTCAACTGCCCAAACATTTGCATGGAATTAGTTCCTGTATGCTCCAATTTTACTACTGCAATTCAACAATAGGTGAAAGCCAATGTTAATTTTTCATCAAAATGCCAATCAAAAAATTGACAAAACGATCCCTTATGGTAGAGATGGACCGCAGCATCAAACGTATGTTGAAGCTAATAGAAGAGGATGCAGATTCATTTGCCAAGAAGGCTGAGATGTATTATCAGAAGAGGCCAGTGTTGATCTCTCATGTTGAGGAGTTCTATCGCATGTATCGTTCCCTTGCTGAGCGTTACGATCATGTGACAGGAGAGCTGCGAAAAAATATTCCTTCAGATCTACAATCCCAGGGCTCTGGTATTTGTGACCTGCCCTCTGAGCCATCCTCTACATGGCCCTCTCCTGATCAAAGGCTTGGACGTCGTAGATCTGGGCCACGAGCTGCTGGTTTTGATTTCTTCCTTGGATCTGGTGGGAGCAATGATATTTGCCAAAAGGAAGGAGATGAATCATCATCCTTAACAGAATCTGAACCTGATTCCGATGACTCCTCGGTGTACAATTATGCAGGTGGTGATCAAGGACTGAACAGGAAGATGATTGAATTGGAGATTGAGCTTCGTGAGGCCAGAGAAAAGATCCGCATGAAGGAGGAAAATGCAGAAAGTTCATTTCCATTCAAGGGGTTAACAGATGAAAATTCTGATGATGCTTTTGCTAGAAATAGAGAGGAAGAATTAAGGAATGCAAATGAGAAGCTGCGAATTTCAGACATCCAGATCACGAGGTTGAAAAATAAGCTCCTGAAATACGAGCAATCAGAATTGACCAAAGATTTGAAGGCTGAGTCTGTATCTGCTACAATGGCAGATACCAAGAGGCATGAGGATGAGGTTCCCTTGGTCATTAATCTGGAATCAGAGGTTGAAGAACATCATACAGGTTTGGAAGATGACCAAGTGATTAACGTTCAGGGATTGGTGGCAGAGCTAAAAATTACAAAGGAAAGACTTGAGAACTCGCAGAAAGAACTTTGTAAATTGAAACTTCAACATGAGAATAATAGGTCACCCGAGAAAATCTGCCATTTGCAGGATGAGCTTGAAGCTGCTCGAAAAGATACTGCCACGTGGAAGGCCAAGCTGAGTGCAGAGAAAAGAGAGGTCTCTAAACTCCAAGAAAGAATTGTGAGGTTGAAAGCTAGTTTATTAGATCGAGATCATGAGATCAGAGATTTAAATTTAGCAGTATCTGATGCTGAGCAGAAAATTTTTCCTGAGAAAACACAGATTAAGGCTGAAATATCTCGGCTACTTGAGGAACGAGCTCTGTTGATGGAACAACTAAGAAAATGGGAACATCAAACTCGTCTTTTGGAGGATGAGATCAGAAAAGTCAAGAGGGAAAAGGTGGTTTTGGAGGAGAGACTTAATCGTGAGATTCAGTTGTTGGAAACGACCATTGTTAACAAAGTAGAATGCATTGAGAATCTTAAAAGTGGCCTTGATGGCTTCCAATCTGAAAGAGATCAGCTCCATTCCGAAGTTATTACTTTGAAAGAGAATTTGAGCTCTAAAGACAAGCAGGTAACCAAAATAAACGAGCATGTGCAAAAATTGGAAAGGGAACGTGTGGAACTTGTATCAGGTGTTGAAAAAGCAAATAGGAGGGCAGAGGAGTTAAGATTAAGAGAGAAGGAACTAGAAGGGAAGGTCGAGAGGCAAAGAGTACTAATAATGGAAGGAGCAGAGGAAAAAAGAGAGGCTATAAGGCAGCTATGTTTTTCGATTGAGCATTACAGGAGTGAATATCATATGCTTAAAGAAGTTTTTATCAGTCAAAAGTGTGCTCTCATGTCCGCATCTTAAGGCAAGTCATCGCATTGTTAATATTGGCTCTTGAAGAGTTGTTGGCCTGTTTTTGGGATGAAACAATCAGTTAATAGAGAGTCTGCAACAGTTGACCGTGGATTGGAACATAATACAGTTCTGTTTGTTAAAATAATGATGTATATGTAGTTGTTTAGAGTAACAATAAATGGGTGTTTGTCCAACAACTAGCTGTTGATGGTCACTCTTGAAAGAGTGTGTAATAGCTCACTGATCGAGTACTCTTATGCAGAATATCCTAGGTTTTGATTTCACAGCTCTGACGTAATTCATAAATGGTCCAGTGTCGAGAGGCCAAACGCCTTACTTTAGCACTCTATAGGCTGAATTATAGAGCTGCTTTCTCTCCTCACTAATCTTTGATCTTTTAATGTCTGTCGAAGATGAATGTGAACCCAGCCAATCAAATGTGCTCCATATTCTTGGGCCTGTCTTTTGTTGTGTATAAGATGCAAGGATTGAAGCATTTTAACTGACATCATCGTTGATTATTAAGCTTTGTCCAAGGTCTACCTGTTGCTCTTTTATGTTTACTTAAAGCAGGATTATGAATACGGTAAGTCTCCTGTTCAATTGTTGACCTGTTCAAGTGTTGCCATATAAGGATTAATGATTGGTTACAAACTCTTTCTGTCTCGCATAGGATCTGGATTTCATTCGGATCTGAAGATGAAGGCTTTATTGTACTTGTTTGTTTATTCATATCCTTAATACTTGGAGTTATTTTATTGAAGGTGTTGGTGAAGAAAAGATGAGTCAACTCACTCTCTCCCTCTATGACTGGTTTGGATTATATTATTTTGTCTCATCTATACTCTCTTACCTACCGTACGCTTAATTAAATCCATATTTGATCATAATAGTCTATGTTCCAAAAGTCATAAGGCTTCCTTCACCGTCACACAATCATATCGATAACTTCGATGAATTAAGCAGCGTTGACCTTTATATTTATTTTTGTATTAAATACTAGGCATGTTGGTTTCATGTAATGCCGAATGTTATATTTTACAATCACATGCCCCATGATTGCCCATCTTTTAATATTTTCTTGTCAGATCAAGCGTCTCCAGTTGTCCTACTTCTACGGTACTAATGTGATGCAAATTTCAATCTTATATTTTCTGTATTTTGATAGCTTCTGGGATGGATGAACGGACAACTTGGTTATGTATAATATTATCTAATCATCTTTTCTTCAAGGGAGAATGGGTCGTGGAGATAGTTTGAAATCCAAACTTCACCTACCCCCATATCATGGCCAACAAATCCACTACCAGAAGTTTTGACTTTTGAGATTATATAAGTGAGCGCCAGAGCAAGAGCGTATACATCATCTGCTTCAATTTTAAAGAGGAGTTCAATACCATGGATCTTCTCCTTTTGGAGAAGGCTCTGCTGGGGCTGTTTGTGGCCATGGTTGTTGCTATTACCATATCCAAGCTCAGGGGTAAACGTTTTAAGCTCCCACCAGGTCCCTTCCCCATACCCATATTTGGGAATTGGCTGCAGGTGGGTGATGACTTGAACCACCGCAACCTGACGGAGATGGCCAAGAAATTCGGAGACATACTGTTGCTCAGAATGGGACAGCGGAACCTGGTGGTTGTTTCTTCACCAGAGCTGGCTAAGGAAGTGCTGCATACCCAGGGAGTTGAATTCGGGTCCAGGACTAGGAACGTGGTGTTTGATATATTCACCGACAAGGGTCAGGACATGGTGTTCACAGTTTACGGCGAGCACTGGAGGAAAATGAGACGAATCATGACTGTCCCCTTTTTCACAAACAAGGTGGTGCAGCAGAACAGGCTTGGTTGGGAGGAGGAGGCTTCCAGAGTTGTGGAGGATCTCAAGAACGATCCAAAAGCTTCCACCAGTGGGGTGGTTCTGAGGAGGCGCCTGCAGCTTCTTATGTATAACAATATGTATAGGATTATGTTTGACAGGAGATTCGACAGCATGGAGGACCCTCTCTTCAACAAACTCAAGCTTATAAACGCCGAGAGGAGTCGGCTATCTCAGAGCTTTGAATACAACTACGGCGATTTCATCCCCATACTGAGGCCTTTCTTGAGAGGGTATTTGAATGTGTGTAAGGACGTCAAGGAGAGGAGGCTCAAGCTCTTCAAGGACAATTTTGTCGATGAGAGGAGGTAATAATAAGTAACAATGTTTGCCTTTTTTGCTTAATTTGCTCCTTCTGCTACTACTAACGATTACAATGGCATAACATTCAGGAGACTTACTAGCACGATTAGCAACAAGGAGGATAGTGTCAAATGTGCCATTGATCATATCGTGGAGGCTCAAGAGAATGGTGAAATCACCGAAGCTAATGTTCTCTTCATTGTTGAGAACATCAATGTTGCCGGTAAATATGATCTGTTCATGTCTTAGAGTGATATTCTTATGTTCTGAGATTAGCTAAATTAGCATGTTGCTGATGTTTGAACATTTAGCAATTGAAACAACATTGTGGTCGATGGAGTGGGCAATTGCTGAGCTCGTGAACCACCCCAACATCCAGAAAAAGCTGAGGGATGAGCTCGATTCAGTGCTTGGACATGGCGTTCAAATTACGGAGCCCGACATTCGCAATCTGCCTTACTTGCAGGCTGTTATCAAAGAGACCATGCGGCTAAGAATGGCCATTCCTCTCCTAGTGCCTCACATGAATCTCCTAGACGCCAAGTTGGCTGGTTATGACATCCCTGCAGAGAGCAAGATTCTTGTGAACGCATGGTGGCTGGCCAACAACCCTGACCACTGGAACAAACCCCATGAATTCCGACCTGAGAGGTTCTTAGAGGAGGAAGCCGACGTGGAGCCTAGCGGGAACGACTTCAGGTACCTTCCCTTCGGTGCCGGGAGGAGGAGTTGCCCCGGCATCGTCCTTGCCTTGCCAATTGTTGCCATTACTTTGGGTCGTCTCATTCAGAACTTTGAGCTGCTGCCTCCTCCTGGACAGTCCAAGATTGATACCACTGAAAAGCCTGGACAGTTCAGCTTGCAAATATTGAACCACTCCACTATTGTCGCAAAGCCAAGGTCTTTGTGAGTTCCAAATTTCTTCATCTCCTGCAAGGCATTGAGTTTCTTAATTGAGTTGAAGATGTTATGATCAGAGCAAGCAGGTTCAGATGAAACAAAGATGTCTCTCTTTCTTTTAATCAAGAAATGCATAAACTGTGTGTGATCTGAAGCAATATTATGCAAATTTGTATGAAATTTCATTTTCGATCTCCTTGATTTGGCTGAATCTCTTACTTGCACTTGCACGAAGAACACAACTTTTTAAATTAGGTGACTCGAGAACTTGATCAACTCAACCTAATTCGTACCGTTTGAATAGAGCTGTCAATTGTGTTATCTACCACATCTTAGATCTAATGTTTTCACGTCATCTTTGACTAAGCTCATGTGACTCGATCAACGAACGGATTGTCTATTTAAAATAATGTGCAACAACATTTCTGATTATAATTATTGTTATTATTATCATTGAATAGTATTATGAGACATTAATCATTTGGCATTGTTAATAATAGTTAATGTTATTTTTAAACATTTTAAAATTTCAATTATGCCCCTCCCTAAGATAATTAAAAGGTTAATGTATTATTAAATTAAGATTCCCTTTTAAAAACGAAAAAATAAAAACGAAAATCACTCCTAACACAAAAGTCAATCACACCTATGAAAAGATCGTTTGGATTTAAGGAGTCGTTTGGCAGGGCTAAGCGATTTGACGAAATTGTGGGGACGTGATTTCTCTTGGCAATATAGTTCATCCGTCGGGAGATCGAGTTTCAAGAAATTTAAAAAATACACAAGTGTAGAACTCTCCAAAACTTTTAATTATGCTTAAATTCAAAATTGAGTTCGAGCTTTTTTTTACCCCTTTCTTGTCGTACCCTTGACGTATAGGACAAAGTACGAGTCAGTTTGAGTCCAAGTGGTTCCTTATTTTCTTTTTTCTACCTATACCCTCCCTATTTTTTTCATAGGAATTTTGCACTCAACGTTCATCTTGAGCAAAGATCGAACTCTTTATGAGCGGCCCGACATTCAATACAGGTCAAAGCATATGGCTACTAGTTCCTACAAAGGATCGAACTAATCGAACTTTCTTGATGTAGATGTTGCATAATTTGTTCTCATCCTTAAGATCGGGAGACGAGATGACCTATTACATGCATGACCAGAGCTTATCAAAAAGAAAAAAGTTATATAATATTTTGAAGGCCGGTAATATCGAAATATCGTATTCCAAAAGAAAGTATCGTATCCCAAAAGAAAGTATCGTATCGGAAGAAAATTATAAAAAAAAAACACAAATAATTTAAATAATTTCCCATATTTGCAAACCATTTTAAAAATGGTTATATTTGCAAATAAAGAAGCCTATTTTCCTCCCATTACAACTACCAAATTACACCATGGTATATTAAACGGTCAACCCCTTTTAAATAGTCAACGATAATTATTATAACTGTGGAAGGTTGTTATATATATAATGTTTTATATAATTTTTTTAAAATTATTATTTTATATAAATATTGGTAGTTGAAAAATACATATGGCTTTTATTAAAATAACTATTTAATTATTATAATTTTATAATTATTTATTGTTTAAACTTTGTTATTGGTTAGATTTGATTTTATTGTTTAAAATTTATAAACTTTCCATATTTAATATGTAATTATTTAATTTCGAAAATATATTTTGTTCTAAAATTTCTAAAATTATTTAATTTATAAAAACGGGCGTGGTAGGAAGTACAGTCTCGTCTTTAGTCCCATTTATACTCCCTTCAGTGTAGTAGAAAATCCCTACAGTTGCAAGATATCGAACTGCAATGACCAAAGCACACCAATAGCACATATCGTCTGTTAGGGAGAGGATTCCGCACCCTTATAACAAATGTTTCGTTTCTCTTTCAAATAGACGTGGGATTTCACACGAACCCAGTCTTGAATTTAGATTTGACTAGAATATTGTCTTATGTTGTTCTTTCTCCTTCCATGTTCACTTCGTTTGTGTCGGGGTTCACTAAACTGATATGGAAAAAATCACTAATTTTATCGGGTATCCTAATGCATATAGATACAAATGGGCCAATGAGAGCAAGAATTTCATTATCCAGAGCTTCTTGATCCAAGGTTCCTTTGCTCCCACCTATCGGTTCACTACAGGTATACAAGGACATGGGATTTTTGCGTCCCAATACTACCGCTCTAAAGAAAACAGGGATAGGTGCAGTCGCATTCGATCCCGAGACAAATATATATATAAAAAATAATATTAATATTAATCATATAAATTTCAATAAAGTCAATAATAATACAAAATTAGGAAATTCCACTCTCTATGATGGCTCCATCTGCACCGTTGGATTAAAATAAAGGGTTTCAGCTACAATTTGGTTATTATTTTAATGAGCCATTATTCCAAGTGTTCATAATTGGCCCCATAAATAAATAAATAATATATATATATATATATATATATATATATTTAATAATTAAAATGAATTTGCATAGTTGAGAAATGATAAAACTACAGTGCGCGTGAGCAGTTACGGAGACAGTTGATTTAAAAAACAACTGCCGTGGAGGTACGTGTCAGCAA